ATATATATACCTAGAGGTAGGGGTGAGCATTCGGTTAAACGGTTCGGTTAAGCATAATTCGGTTCGGTTTTCGATTAACCAATGTAGAAAAAATAAAAACCGAAATCGAACCAAAATTAATTCGGTTAATTCGGTTTGCAACCAAATTATTTCGGTTCGATTTTGAAATAATTCGGTTTAACCGAACTTTTTTATTACTTCTCCATTTCAAACTTTAGACGTTTCTCCCAAAACTTCCATTTATTTTTTCTTTGCCTAAGCTGAGTAATTAGCAATGCCAATCTAAGAAGTAACCACTTTCTTTTCTAAAAAGAATTCAACACCAAAAAAAAAAAAAATTCACAATTAAAGTTAAATTTAAACACCCAACAATCCAACATGTTTAACATTCATATATCGGAAAAGGAAATAAGTCATGCAAAATAATTGTTGATGAAACAAAGATCCATATACAATACAATCGACATTAAACAACAAAAGCATGATAGAATGTCCGTTCTCATTTCTCAACAAAGAGGACAAGACACGAGCTCTCTTCCCGTCCTAAAACAAATGATTTACGTGCATTTGCAATACCTTCACTCCTTCGGGATCCGTAATAGAATGAAATCCCAACAAACACTCAATGCTCCCGAAAGACAATATTAACATGCTACGAAAATCAAAGGTAGTAGGCCCGCCGCCCACTGCCGGTAGGCGGGAGACACCAAGGCAATAAGCCTACTGCCCACCTGAGTAGGCCTGCTGGCCACAGGAGTAGGCCTACTACCCACCCGAGTAGGCCTACTGGCAGTAGGCCTATAGCAGTGGGTAGTAGGCCCATCGGCCACCGCCGCAGTGGCCTACTTTCGGTGGGCACGAGGCACCAAGGCGATAGGCTACTACCTATTATTGTTCTCTTCTTTAGTTTAATGAAAATGAAAATTTACAATTCCCACTTACCGACTAAACTTGCACAAACGAAGAAATAAAAAATCAAACTTAGAAAGTAGAAACTTAGTAACTTACACATACCACATACCATTCATCACGCCAAAACACCATCAAGTCATCAACCCATCAAGATTCAATCATTTGTAATAGAGGTAGTGGCAAGTGGTAACTCTGAAAATATAAGATAAAAAAATTAAACTTTTAATATTAATATAAATGAAAGAAATAACAAATAAAAAGGTAAGAGTTATAGAAATTACCATCTTGCATTTTCTCAACATCTTGCAAATTTTCTTCAATAATAATTGGTGTCGATGAATTTTTAATCCAATCTTGAGCACATATAAGAGATTCCACTAAGCTAGGAGTCAAAGAACTCCTAAAGAAGTCAAGAACCCTTCCTCCAAGTGCTAAATGTCGATTCCGAGGAAACGGTAGAAACGAGGAATCGCCAATATATCCCTAGCCATTTGTGAAAGGATGGGAAACCGAGGAGAATTGGTTTTCCACCATTCTAAAATCTTAAAATCAGCACTCGTTATTTTCAGCACCTTCACTAAGATATTTATCCAACTCCGTTTTATTTCCTCCACCTCCAATATCACACTTGTATTTTTCAAAACGTATTATTATCTCCCTTTTTATTCTAATTTCTTCTTCATCAATCATTTCTTCATTTGCACAACCCACATCTATTTCCCGACTCCCACTACCTTGGCCAATTTCACCTTGAGATGTTGACGAACGACAATAGAAATCATACATAGCATGCATAGATTCCTTGACAATATTTGGCATTCTTTGACCCTCCAAATCACCATACAATTCATTGATTGAAAATTCAATAAATACAAGTTTATGCCTAGGATCAAGTATTGTCGCAATATAAATCAACTTATTTATTTTCTTAATATCCCCCCAATACTTCTCAAACTTTTCTTTCATTTTATTGGCCAACGTAAAATCATCTAAATCCCCACTTCGTTGTCATTTTTTCAAAACATGTTCGAGAGCATAAATCTCTTCAAAATAAATATTTGAAGTCACAAACAAAGAACCCGAAATACGCAAAGTGAGATTGTAAAAAATTTTCAACATGCCCACCAACTTCTTACAAGACTTCCAATCATCAACATTAGGTGGCCCAACAACATTGTCACCATGATCTATATCAAATTCACTCCTATATAAAGGATCAATTTGCTCATATCTCTTAAAAGCTCTCTCAAACTAGAGCCGACTCTAACATCAAGTATGTTGAATTCCACCTAGTAGCAACATCTAGTTGTAACAAACTCCTAGAATCAATTTTCTCAAGTTGAATGCATTCCTTAAATCTTTTCAACCTAGTCGGAGATTGCCTCACAAACCTAACAGTCGATTGAATACGAACGATTAAAGGATTAAAATGTTTTAACCCATCAACAACAACTAGATTCAAAGTATGTGCCATACACCTCATATGAATGAATTCACCATCTAAGATGTTATAACCCCAATTCTTAATCACATCTTTTAAGTGCCTAATTGCCACATCATTCGAACTCGCATTATCAACCATAACACTAAAAACCTTCTCAATTCCCCAATCAATCAAGCATTTCTCAATGGCAATACCTAAATCTACTCCCTTATGACTATCACTCGGACAAAAATTCAAGATCTTTTTATGCAACTTCCAATCATTATTAATAAAATGAGTCGTTAAACACATGTAATTGTTTCTTTGAATAGATGTCCATGTGTCCGTAGTAAGGCTAATTCTTTGACTATTTTGTTTCAAAAATTGCTTCAACTTTATTTTCTCATCTAGATAAATTTGATAGCAATCTCTTGAAATTGTAAAACGAGATGGAATCTTGAATCTAGATTGCAAATTAGACAAAAACTTTTTGAATCCCCTACCCTCTATATGCTTAAATGGAAGCTCATCTAGAATGATCATTTCAGCTAAATCTTTTCTACTAACATTTTGATCAAACTTCCATGTGGTAAGATTCCTTTCTCCCGCTTCAAGCTTTCTTAGGTCTAATTGAGTTTGGGTAGAGTCAATACAACTAAAAGGGTTTTTTTTGCAAGTCAAAACATGAGACCTAAGTGAAGTTGTCCCATTTTTTGAAGGATCACAAGCAAATACCTTATCACAATAGTTACATTTAGCCTTCATGTTTTTCTTTTCATCTTCAAACTTTGTGAAATGATCCCACACCATTGATCTTGGCTTCATTGATTTCCTCTTCTTTCCTTTGCCACCGTCTTGAGTGTTACTTGGAGTTGCACTTGATTGTGGATTAGGATTGCTTGAATCCACAGTTTCATAACTCATCTCTATGGATTGAGATTGTGACATCTACATAAAAACATAGGAAAAAAAGTATTAAGCTTCACAGTTCACACTCCTTAGTCCTTAAGCTTAAGCCAAAAAAAAAAAATCTAGCTAGGCGAGGAGGCACCAAGGCAGTAGGCCTACTGCCGACGGCCAGTTGGCCTACTGGCTGCTGCCAGTAGGCCTACGGGCTGCCGGCAGTAGGCCTACTGGCAAGCAGTGTATGGCCACACACAAGGACACTTTGTGTCTAGAAATTGATTTTTGCATGCATCCGATGCGAGTATAGATTATTTTGCTAATTTCAAAATTAGGTTAGGTAGGCTTTGTAACTTATAAGTGTTTTGGCCTTACCATGATGCAAGTTCATAGTATGTTCATCATATGAAGCCCAAATAATTACCATTTAAAAGAAAACGAGAGAAACAAAGTTGCTATTAACAATCAACAAATCTAACCAAATTAACCAATAATCTCCCCAACCTTGACACACAATCACATGTAATACGAGTAATAGTACTCGCGAGCCGTGGTCGCCAAGTCCGAGAGTGAGAGAGACTAAGAGAGAACGCCCGAACGCAGCTAGGCACTAGGCGAGCACCGCGGCGATAGCGAGGCAACGGTAGCGAGGCAACGGCGGCGAGGCGGCGACTAGCGAGGGCGGCGACTCCGGCGAGGCAGCGTCTAGCGATAACGAGGGCAACGAGGCGGCGACTAGAGAGTAGCGAGGCAGCGTCCGGTGAGTAGTGAGACGGCGTCGTAGCAAGGTAGCAGAGCTAGCGACAACGGCAACGACGGCGAGGCGAGCGAGTAGCGGCGAGCCGACGGCTAGGGACTTAGGGTTAGGGATTTGGTATTTGACTATTTTAATGGAAATGTCTAAATGAGAAGAGAAATGAGAGAGTGAGCTGAGTGAGAGTCCGAGAGAGTGAGAGTGAAATCGAAATAGGAATTTAGGTTTTTCGGTTTGAACCGAAATTTAGGAATAAATTTTGGTTTTTGGTTTGAATCGAATTTTTTAAAAAAAACCGAACCGAATCGAAATAAATTTTACTTTTTCGATTCGGTTATAAATAATAAATTTTAAATTCAAAACCGAACCAAATACCTTAATACGAGTTCGGTTTGATTCGGTTTTCGGTTAAGCGAACCGTTTGTACACCCCTACCTAGAGGTTAGATATTGGAGGTCATGACAGCGGAGGTGTCCCCTTAGGACTGTCTTGGACTATGCAGGATAACATTTCACCTCTTTTAAAATTTTCAACGACATGTTTGGGTATGGTTTGATTTCAAATTAATGCTTTGAGAATATATGGAGTAACTTACGGGCAATGCAATTTTGAGGTGCATTTAAACGTACCCTTTAATCTCGTTTGATTTATTATTTTTTTGTCCATAACATGTGAATAACATATGTTAGTACTTGTTGAATCATAGAAGTGTATAAAACACTAACACAAAATATATACAATTTTTTTTTCTTATGAAAAAAAAAAAAAAAAGGAAATGATCAAATCAAAGACCACTTGAGAGGGCAACGTGAGTGTCAGTTCATTCTCTTCTTTTTTTTTTCTTTTTTTTTCTTTTTCTTTTTTATGAAAGTAACAAGCAACACAAGTACTTCACACATGTAGTTCTGCAAGACAATAATAACTTCAACAATTAGATTACTTGAAGTCATTAATTAACAACAGGAAAATCAACGCATATGCTTCGGTCTGTTTTCCCAGAACATTCACCTATTGTTTTTCGATGGCATTAGAAATAGCTTGAGTAATACTTTTCGCATGTAGAGCATGCTGTTCTTCAGCTACAACAATGGCTTCCATGGAAAAATACAAGTTGCACGAGACCCTAGCATGCAATACAATAAGGCTCATTTCTTCGAAGACCTCTAAGATTGAAACTAGTTTATCTCCTCCCTTCTCGCATATCACCCTTACTAGATATCCTTTCTCAGCTTTCTCTACCTTCACCTCCTTCTGAAAATAAATTAAGAATAATGTTAAAATTGCAAAGACTATATGTTTCATTTTTTTTTTCCTAAAAAGAAAAAAAAAGGTAAAAAGTTGAAATAACCAGAGGTAAAGAATAAGAGAATTGACCTTAGGCAACTGGAGTTGCTTCATTAGGCTTAAGTATTCTCTTTTTAGTGCAATTAAGTTTGTAAGTTCCCCTTTGATTGCCTCCAATTTGAGCTTGAGATTGTAAATGTTGAGAAGAGCATCCATGATGATGGACTTCTTTTGCACCTTCACAGGAAAAAAATATAAACTCCGTAAGCTTTGTGGCAAAAAAAAAAAAAAAAAAAGAATTGGTATTTTCTTAGTCATCACTTGTTCCTAACGCTAAAGAAAAGGAAGTCTTAAGAGTTTTTTTTTTTTTTTTTTTGGCAATCCAATAGAAAGTATAGAAAATAGATTTTGTATATTACAGATTTGGAGCAGGTGAGGGTTCTTAGAATGTGAACCTTTTTGCGCATTGCTGTTCTCCTAGGCAACCTGGCAACCATCTCTCTATGTATCTCTGTTTATTAACTCTTTAGCAACACAGAGCAGCTTGACTACTGTCGCAGGAATGGAGAGGTTAAGGAGATATGTTTAGGATCTCAGATTGCCAACCTAGCTATGGTATTTATGATCTTCTGTCACCTGATATAGGGAAGTGAAACAGTACAAAGATAGGGCAGTAGGTGGATGGGTAAAAAACTAAAAAATAAAAAGCCATTTCGCGAGATATATAGGGTGTCTTTTATGATAGTTTAGTACAACACTATTTCGTAGATCTTATCTAAATAGATTAAATTGAGATCGTTTTGTGACATTGTATTAAAACTTTAAACGAGTGAATTGAGATGCTTTTTTATTTATTTATTATTATATTAAAACTTTGATGATTAAACTATTACGATTTTGAACTTCACCATCTCAATCATCTTTTATCAAAAATAAATAATTAATTAATCACAAAATAATGTAATAAATAATTAAACACAAAATAGTTGTGAGCATATAAGTTTTAAGTTAAAAAATCTTTTATTTGAGAAGTGTGTTAGAAAATAATATAATATTATTATGAAAGTCTCACATAAACAATTTAAGTTGTTGGGTTGGAGATAGTTATTTGATATTTTTAAAATAATTTTTGTATTAATTGAAACTAAATAGACTACTTTTTAGACTAGATAAGCATTATATTATGCCTAGTTTTTAGTTGAATCTACCAACAATATATATCTAGTGCCACAAAAAAGAAAAGAGAGAGTTTTTTAATAGTATGAATCAAATTCTATATGTTAAGTCAAAAACATTCTTCTTATTGCTCCACTTGAAAAATGTCACTTTTTTATCCACAACTTTCCAAGGCATGATCTTTTTGGACAAAGCACTTGCTATTGGGCATCGAGAAACTGTTTCAATCCAAATATAGAGATCCACTGCCTTGTGCCAAATTTTTTTAATTTAATTAGAAAGGGATGGATGATTGAAATTTTTTCATTAAAATTGATACCATATTGTTAAATGATACTTAAAAAGGTTTTATGTTGGCTTTTAATGCTGAGAAGTTTAAAAGATTTAGCTTAAATTAGAGGCTGAAAAGCAAATAAGGTTTAATCACTCTTGATATATGGTCATGTAAACTTTATTTAACAATTTAAGCATTTGGGTTGAATTATACTCGAGGCTTGTTAACTAATTAAGTGTTTTTGAGTTTGAACTTAGAATCTTATTCAGGATCGTAAAATTACTATTTCACTGTTAAATATCAAATATGTAATTAAAAACAAATTATATCTTTTCAATGAGGAATCCTCAACTTCGATAGGAAAAAGAATTCTTCTATTTGTACCAAATTAACCGGATAAGTATGAGGAGAAAGCAACATAACCTCTCCCGCAGACATTTCTAAATCTTGTCATTCCAATTCTTTCTCTAATTAATTGAAATTAAAATTAAAATTTCAGCATAAAATAGCTTAAGTCTACATAAATTTCTTGTTCAAAAGATTGTTTTTTTTTTTTTTGAAAGAATGTCATATATATATATACTTACTTACTTACTTTTACATCATATTCACCGTTAAACATCAAACATGTAATTATAAAAAATAAAATAAATTATTTTAATGAAGAATCACAAACTGGATAGAAAAAAGTTCTATTTATACCAAACTTGATAAGTACGAGGATTTCTAAATCTTGTCATTCCTATTCTTTCTTTAATTAACTCAAATTCAAATTCAAATAAAAATAACATTAGTCTATATAAATTTCTAGTTGAATGACTTTAACTTGAAAGAACGTTATAAAATACAATTAATTAAGTACACATGTATATATTAAATAATTTTTTTTCAATGAACACGATAGAAAAAAAAATCATTCTATTTGTACAAACTTAATTGATAAGTATGACGATGTCAAAATCTTGTCATTCATATTCTTTCTTTAATTAATTTGAATTCGAATTCGAATTCAAATTCAAATTTCAGCATAAAATAGCATTATTCTATATAAATTTTTAGTTCATACCACTTTCATTATATATATATATATATATATATATATATATAAGTAAAATTGGAAAGGTGTAATTGGGATTAGCGAAAGACGAGAAGACACCAATTTCGGGGCAAAAAATCTGTATTGGGAACATATTAGTGGAAAGGTGTGGGCTCCAATTAGGACTAAAACAATTACCTATCAAACAAATAAAAAAATCTATTAAATCAGCAAAATTACCAAGGTCGATGAAAAGTGGAAGATAAGATGGTCATATCCATTGTTGAATTCGAATTCTAGCTTGCATGGGAATGGGTGTGGGAATTGGTTTCAGCGGGTAGTCAGATTCAGGGATTGTCTGATTTTGAGTCAGCCAATGTATAGAATCAGTATGCATATATGCAGAATTCACGGGCCTCTCGTTTGGTTGCACTTTGTCTCCCATATTGCTAGTGGCCGTAGGTCACATGCCTGACACTGTAAAACAACTGGTGTTTTATTCTTTATATCCTTCTTTTCTTCTTCCCGGGTCACCAGGTTTGATAACAGAGCATTATCATGCCATCCTTTCGAAACAGCCTTTCCACTTAAAACAAATCCACCAGCCCTGGACAATTCGTACTCTGATCTTTCATATATATACTATATATAAATGTCAAAGTGAAAATTCTTTACCGAAGATTTTTTTTTTTTTTTTTTTTTTTTTTCTGTAACAAGTATTCACATGAGCCACAGTTGGCAAATTGGGATGTTGCATTTTGCAAGTATTAGATTGACAACTCAACTAATATCAAATTTGAAAGTTTGTTGAAATTGGGTGTGGTGTGTCTGAGCCCCTTCTATATATATATAAAAGCTAGCTCATGAATTTTTTTAAGTGATCTAAAGTTTTTATTATTGGCAAAATCCATACTTATCACTTCCTGATCGGTAAAGCCATGAGCAAAACCGTTGGATATGAAAAGTACTGGCGGATGATTAAAATGCTATGGTTCATTCTCTTTGGATAGAATAACCCAAGCATATGGTGCCTGCTGGCTACTGCCTGCTGACTGCATTACGACAAGCTCTGCCCATTTCACAAATTCTTATTCTTCACACACTGGCATGCATAAACATAAAAAAGGCAATAAGGGGGCACGAATGTTGGATTTTAGTAGTTCTACCTTTCCTGAAATCACTCTTACTAGTTTTGTTTGATATGTATGCTAGTGCTAAATTTCAATTTTGAGGGTCATAGGGGTCCCTTTATTGTCACTTTGTTTTCTGATATTTCAATGTTATAAGCCCATCCTTGCATCCAGTTTTCTTTGTCCATTTCTGTTTGACATCTCCCTCTCAGTTTGGGGACTGAGGCAATATATTCCATCAAATTCTTGTCTACTAGTTGCTGAAACTTTTTCCTTTTTATCTTCTCGTTTGTGGAATCCGGATTCACATGATCACATAGAACCATGGAAAGGATTGCATGCGACAATCAAGTTCAGTTTATTCATTAAAATCCCGTGTGTTATGTAACAAACCGAAAATTTCCCGAAAATTTTCCCCTTTTTTTACCATTTATTTTCTTTTTTTACTTCGTTGTTCTATTATTTATTTTTACTTTTTATTTCTATTGTTGGAATTTACAAAAACAAAAAGAAATCAAATCAAAACACAATATATATATATATATATATATATATATATATATATATATATATATATATATATATTAGGACAATTAGAGATACAATTGAATCAATCGAAGCTTCAGAACCCCAATTATAGGATCCAAAGACTTAATTCACGAAATTAAAAAAATACATGGACTAAAACAACATGCTTAAAGGGTACAATTGAAGAAAAATCAAGACATGCGGGGACTATGTCACGACCCCGGAGAGTGAGCCATGATCGATACGAGGATCGAGAAAACTATGAGTCCTATCTCGATCCAAGCAAGTCTTGAATATCTAAACTTAAATTCTTAATTATCATTTCATTCCACATTATCCCAACTTAATTGTCATTTTATAACATTAATATAGTTGATAATACCATGGTATTCATAATCAATTCTTAACACAATATTATCCTTGCATTTCACTAAATCAACATTCATAATTAATTTCTAATACAACAATCATAGCTATAACTGCAGAGCTTCTAAGATTATAATTTAAAACAAAAATAGGTTCTATGGAATTACAATTAAGGTAAGTCACATGACCAAAGCGCCAGACTTCACGAAAAGCGACCAAGAGGAAGCAATGACCGGTCTCTCAATATCCTACAAGATCGAAATAATGAGGGGTGAGCAATCAACGACTTAATGAGTAGGCATTTTATAACATACTCGAGGACGGGGAAATGAACTAAGAATGATACTTTCAAATTCATCTCAAAATGCAATGCTTATTTCTTCAAAATATATGCATATCGTAAAACATTTCGTACATCACAAATCAAATTATTCAAAACCATTTCGTATCAAAACATCAAAACACTTATCATACATATATCGTATTCATACTAGAACTCATATTAGGTTTTTATACACCTATGAGGTAAAAACGTATCATTGGGTGTGAACACCCAAAGGTCATGTCTCCCATAACTAGGTTTTCACATGTTGGTCAACACATCGGCTAGCACTCTACCTCTCCTCCTAGTTAAAGCCTCGCATCATTGAGCTCAAAGGCTACCCCCGGTAGCTAGGTTCCCTAGGGTCTCAAAAACATTTTCAAAAACAAAACATACTTATATATTTTTCAAACTAGTAGTTCAAATACTATGCATGTATTTTCGAAATTATACGGATACTCAAAGTAATGGACATAACATGTTCATGTTCAAAATCCAAAAACACATATCAAATCCGAAACACATTTGTTCAACACATTTAAATCTCTTTTCAATTCATATCAAATCATTTTGATGCAAAAACATTTCAAAATTCATGATGTTCGTTCCCATCTAAGTTCTAACATAATGCTTATAAATCATACTTAAATCAATGGTGCATGATAGAAATGATTTCAAGGAATTAAAATATAGTAGATTATATAATATTCACTCACGAGTACAAATGGATAATTGGACGGAGTCAATATGGATTGAACGTATCAAGGTTGTTGGGAAGGAGTCGCCTGCTTCGAGGAATCTAATAACATAATGATGGATAACCATCAATATCACATGACAAAAAAATAATCTAAACAATGAATTATTCTAGAATTGGAAATACAAGATTACTCATAGGGATAGAATTAGCTAACTTTATAGTCTCTCTAGCAATTCCATCATCCATCTAAGTATATCTCATTATCAATCCTTAATTAGATAATCAATTCTACGATAACCTCTAATTCAAACCCTTAATCACTCAACCTTTAATTAAATAATCAATTCCATCTTAACTCATCCAATACTCATTTTGTTAACGTTTAATTGCATTTACATAGCTTAATTCCTCATTTTCTCTAATTTTCGGATTTGTCATTATTCATCATCTTCAACCTCTCAATTTCTCAAATTCACTCAATTTTACTTCAAATTAACTTCTTAATTCACTTACGCAATATAATTAAACATCATTCAAGTCATTACAATTACCTAGAATCACTTTTCCCCAAATGGTTTTTAAAATCCTAACCTTAATTTAAGAAATTCTCCAAGCAATTCACAATCTCAAGCAACTCTAATTCGGTGTTATCATTAACTACTTATAAGCATCACAATTCGGAGATTAATTGATCATAAATCTGAACTTTATACTATGCTCTTGAAATCTCAAATTCTTCCTAGTTCTCCAAGCTTCCCAAGCTCTAAACTAGCTACACTCCTCTTAAATCTTCTAATTTATGTTTCTCCTAAGCTAATTTAATAATGAATAAACTTAGGAATTGAATGAAAATTGGGAGGAGTTTTAAAAGAGAAAATACGTAAGAGAGGAAGAGGAGAAGGAAAGAAAATTCTATTGAACAAGTTGAGCTTCAGCCAACCCGCATGCTACCAAACTTGCGTTAGGCTTAGCCGACTCAAGCCTTAAAGTGAAAAAAGGTTGGCTTGTCTAATAGGCTTGTTGCTCGGTGGACTTGGCCTAATTGCTCGAATGCTTACTAGCCCAAATAGACCTAATAACCCTAATTTTAGTCATTTTTCTAGGTAAATGAGTTCTGAAATGTTACTACAATTCTTTTACTTTTATGCCTAGTTATTTATTTAGTCAATATTTAGCTTTTTTAATTTTCTTTCGATAATTAGATTAGGTGATTAATAGATGGATAAGTCATCGAGTCTCCTAATTTTTAAGGACTAATGATGACTTCCCACCAATAAAAAAATATAAAAAATGATAAAATGATAAAAAATGATAAAAAAAATAATGATAAAAAAGAAAAAAGAGGGGAGAAAAAAAATAGATAAAATGCACATGAAAATGATAAAGAAAAAGACAAAAAAGAATAAATAAAAAAATAAAAAATGCTTGGTAGAAATTAACAAAGTCTCCTATTTAATAAGGACTGATGTTAATTCAAATCAATCACATTTTAGTAATTAAATCATTCTTCAACATATCAATTGTGATGAGACTTAAACTATATCCAAAGTTGAACCGACGAGACTCCCGATAGTGGGGTCCACAGATTGATTCAATATGATGCCACAAACAAAATAATATAAAAAAAAATTTGCTTAGGAAATAAAACATAAAATTTTGACTTAGGATTAATTTTTTAGAAGATATGCTTTAGGACTAAACTAGGCATGACACCTTTGTTAGGAAAGAGTGCCTTTGAGTGATTGATATCTTTGCAAAAGCATAACTAACTCCTTATCTTAGAATCTATAAACTGGTATCCATTTTAGGTTCCTAGTTAATTTTAATGCTTAGTGGCGACTCTAAAATTAATAATAAATTATATTTTCAATAAAATAAATTTTTTAATAAATAAATCATAAATTTTCAAAAGTCTTATGAAAATCGATAATGACAGAATGACGACTCCACTAAGAATTTAGAGTTAGGCCATCGATTTAATCCTTTGAATTTATCTCCTTTATTTATTTTTGTCATTTATTTTCAAGTCATTTATTTAATTCCAAGTTATTTATTTTATTCCATTTATTATTTTGAGTTATATTTCTTGTGTATATTTCAAGTTGTTTATTGTATGTAATTTATTTTCTTCCATTTTTATTCATGTATATAATTTATGTTATCTAGACTAGATATGTATCTACTTTGTCATTGCACACACCATAAGAAAAACTCACTAATCTCTCGGACCCCAAGCTAAAACATTTTGAATTTAGATAGAGAGATTCGGAGGCAAATATTACAAAAGGCTACTAATGCTTATCCGGACTCTTGTTTGGATTAAAACTTACCCTATGCATAGAAAATTATGGATTGACCTTCCCATACCTCTTGGTGCATAAGATTAGAGGTTGGATTACTCCATTAGTAATCTAGATAGTTCGAAACTTGAAAAGACTTTAATATTAGATAAGCTTTTCCCGAACCTCGTTTAAAAAAGCTAGATTAATTCCATTATGGTTAACCTATTTAAGACACAAATTATCGTCAAATAACATTAATTCTAATTCTTGTTTTTACAGGCTATCACCAAAATGAACTTGAAATTTTGACTTAAGATTAATTTTGGCAAAAATTGAAATTTTTAGCGAGATAAGCTTTAGGACTAAATTAGACATGATACTTTTCCAAGTAAATGGTACTTTTAGGTGATTAATATCTTTCCAAATATATAACCAACTTCTCACTTTAGAATCTCTAAACTAGTTTCTATTTTAGGTTTCGAGTTACCTTTAATACTAAGTGACGACTTCAAAATTAATAATAACTTATATTTTCGGACGACTAAATTTTTTAATATATAAATCATAAAATTTTAGAAATCCCATGAAAGTCAAATAGCGATAACCGAGTCGGTATTTTTCTCACATCCCATTATTTTAGCTTTATAGATCTTGTGAGATTGCATTTGACTTCTTCAAAATTGTCTTGAAGCGAGACACATTGATCAAGCTGACTCATTTATTTGTAATCTTTTGAACATGTATTTTGAGATTGTTATACACTCTAAAACTCTAAAATTATATTTATGGGAGTTGTCTTAGGTTGTTGATTATGGATATTATTTAGATTTGTATAACTATTGTGAAATTATAGTTTGTGTTAAAATTATAAAGTATTGACTAAATAGGTAATGACATTACAAATTAGATATGATATTTTATTACTATAAGTTTGATAGGTATGGCTTGGATATTCAATGATTGCCGGTAAGTCTTTAGGGTTCATGATAGACATGATCGTCATGTCATGAACAACTTAATAAACTAAAGGCAAGTCAACTTGTGAAGCAAAAGAAAATAGACACAAGCAATTTCTTGCTAAATTTAATTTTTCCTTTCTTTTCTTTTTTATTTTAGGTAATAGAATGT